CTGAGGGAGGTGTGCACTGACCGGGCTGGGGCTGCAGCGGGGGCTCGGGAATGCCCTGTGCTATCCCGGGAATTCCTTGTGCTATCCCGGGAGTGCCCTGTGCTGTCCCGGGAATGCCCTGTGATATCCCGGGAGTGCCCTGTGATATCCCTGGAATTCCCTGTGATGTCCCGGGAATTCCCTGTGCTGTCCCGGGAGCCACCTGTGATTCCCCCAGGTCCCTCAGACACTCGCGCCTCACACCGGCCCTGTTCTTGTTTTAAATAAAACCAAGCCCTCCCAAATCTGTCTCTTCATTTAGGGGAAAAACCCAACACCGCCTTTTGAATGCCTGTCAAAAGTCTGTTACTCTTTTTGGTTGGTTGGGTTTGGGTTTTTTGGTTGGTTGGCTTTTTAAGATAAATTCTGCTAAATCTTCAAGAGGCGCCTGGGTGGTGTGGGATGATCTTGAGGGTCTCTCCCAGCCTTGATGCTTCTATGAAAACTTCATGACCTCCTCAGGGAGGAGATAGGAAATTTTGACCAGCCTTTATTTGGTCCACATCTAGGCAGTGACAGCCTAATTATTCTTGGAGTTTTTAGAACAAAGAAGGTAATAAACAGAACACAGTCGCCCTAATAAGTACCTTAAATTTAGAATACCGATCCTAGTTTCAAATTATGATGGTGTTTGTGATATCTAAAAGAATGCCTTAAATTACATCTTAATGTCCATACAAAGTTTTTTTTGGTTTAAATAAATAATTTCTATCTGGCTTTCCAACAGATCTCCAGTGGATGTTAATAGTAAGAAAACTGAATCTTAGGGTAAATACAGAAAGGCATGGCAAGAACCTAAAAGAAGAGTTTTAGTGAGCCACAAAAACTGGTGCAAGTAACAGAACATTGAGTTCCTTGGGGTTTCACACAGCTTTGCTGACACCTAGTTATAAGCAAATCATTTGGGACTGAGATGAGGCAGCAATTTGGGTAATAGAAGCCCAGCTTGATTAGTCATAAATATTTGGGTACAGAGCCAAGTGCTCTCTTGAGATCTAGTGGTAGTTTTTTATGACTTTGGTATATTTTTGCTATGCTTTTATGTATTTGGAAATGAAATACTGAGTCCAACGGGGCACATGGAGCAGGAGCATCACAAAAGACCCAAAGCAGCAAAGTGCTTTTTGTTTGATTTTTTTAAAAGTCTGTTATTTACAGTAGCCTTCATCAGTACTAGGAAAGAAATTAGGGAGAGGATATTTTCAATAGAAATATGACACTGAAATTGCCTTTAGAATGCAAGACTATAAATCAAGATATCTTTTCACCTAACTTTTTGAACAGTGTTGAAGAATTGGTGGGATTGTGGTCTGAAAAGAATTAAAAGCTTGTGGAGACATTATTTTATCCTTGCCTCAGGAGATACCCAGGGTTCTAAAGCATGGAAATGTAAAGCTTTAATATGTGGGAGTAACAGCATGTAGCTTGTGCTGTTTGTTGTTTCTCCATCTGACCATTAAAGAAAACCATTATAAATTTCATATATATATAGCTTAAGTGATGCAGTGGCTCAGCGATGACAGAGAGACTGGGAAGTGCTATCATTCAAGAAAGCTTCAGTAAGGCTGCTTCTGCTGACTTGTGTGGCTTAGGATGAAATATGTGGAGTTAATGAAGGGGAATAATTCATGAGAGGAGATATCTGAGATACAGGTTGTGACATCAATTTGTATAACATAAATATAGGAAGAGCGGTGAGGTGTATTCACTTTTTCAGCGTTAGTGTCAATATGTGAGGCTGACTGTATAGGTTTCAGGTTGGCTGGGAATTAACTTGTAACAAATCTGCCAGCCATGGATTTAGATTGGTTTTGGTTGATCACATTGGCTTTCCTCTGTGAAAATGGAATGGTGCCTTAATGAGGGAGAACTATCTCATTGCTTTTTGTTTTTTTTAAACTTTTGTGTCAAATAGAAATAAAATATCCATATTATTATATTTGACATATTTGATGAAGAAAATGGGATCTAATTGTGGTTATATATTTTTGCTACCATGAGGGATCCTATTACTTTTCTTCAAGGCAAACATCTCTCTGTCTAGCTCAAAATGTGCTGGAACATCAAGTAGGCATAGATGTTGTCTGCTTTCAGTTCCTCTATGATTTTCTTATAAAATATGTCTTCTTCTCTTTCAAAAACTTGTACTCAGAGATATAGAGAGCAATTGTTGCAGGGAAAAAGGCAGGAAAAAGCTGATAGTTTTGTAAGGACCATTTAGACATAACATAGAAAAAGGAAAATAAGTAGCCTACATGAGCTTTTCCTTGTAGAAAATATGATGCCAAGTGCTGCATTTTATCTAAAAGTCATGAACTAATGTCACAAACAGAATTTACACTTTGGTGTGTGTAAGCCTGGGTAACACCATAAAATTCATTAAAAAATTCTTAACAATTACCTTTGCATGTTTTGTAGCATGCTAATAAGTTTTATTTTGTTAGATATGGATATAATAGCATGCATGTACTGGCTTAAATTGCTCTCTGGCCTGGTTGTTCTGTTTTTCAATTTTAATTTGGCAATGATATGAAGACTTCTGACAATTTTAAGAGTTTGCATTTAAATTTTGGCACATAACTGTTAGATATTTGGCTTCATATAAAGCTATTTTTTAAGATATCTAGAAATAATAGAAATTCTGTCATGCTAAAAAAAAAAATTAAAATCCCCCTCAACACTTTGACTGTTGTGTCATGAAGAGAATCCTCTGCTTTACTGGCATCTGACCTTGGGATGCTTCTTTGGGAATCTTCTGCCCTTTCCAGGCTGATTTCGTGACAGTCCTTATAAATTTATTGCCTGGAACATTCTGTCTCTCTGCTCAGTGAGATCTTTGTGTTGAGGAGGATTTTGGCTGCTGCTTCCAGTCTGCTCCTCTTGCCTGAGCAACTTCACAGATGATATAGCATCACCCTGTTGCTATTCTGTGTTCTTTGCTTTGGGGCTGAAGAGAACGTGCTCAGAAACTTGGATATCTGTCCTTTGGAATTAGTGCAGCGACTCTGCCAGTCTGGATCTCATTTGGGATACAAACCCAATGTTTGGGAATTTCCTTTACCCATCTCTAAAGGTATTGAATTTATTTCTGATTCAAAAAGCAGGGACATTACTAAAAGAAATCTCATTCAGTCTCTTTCTAGTCACTTCCAGAGCAACTAATCCTTGCACAGACCTAAGGCTTACTGCTTACTGACTGGTAACACGTTGGGGTGTTCAAGGAATTTAGGGTTTGTCCTTTCCTAAGAAAAACGTCCTCTCCGTGCTTGGCTTGATGGAAAATGAAGGTTGTTAATCTCACAACTGGTGAAGAATCAAGTAGGGAAAACTACTTTTTTTTTTTAATTGGTGCATGCTGAATCATTTGTCTGGGTGCTACTTCTCTCCCCAGCACACCCTGATGTCCCAGAGCAAAGAGAACAGATCATGAATAAATGTTGTGAGGGGGCTTTGTGTCAGAGTGTAACTGTGGATTCATGGATCATACACCAGGAAGCCTTCCACGATATTTGCCTATTTAATAGTAGGGTTTGATTCATGGCTACTCTGCATTTCTTTGATGCTGTTTGCCACAGAGAACAAGCTCTAAGGCTGCCTTAACTGAACACAAGCTTGAACACAAAGCTGAGGAGAAGAAACTGAGATTGGCATTTAGGTCACAAATTGTTGGTTCTGTAGCTGCCACCAGCCAGTGGAAAGCACTCTAGTTAAAGTCCTAATTTTGGGAAACTTATCCAGAAAAATAGCTAGCAGTGATTATTAGCCATTTTCTGGAAACCCTTGTGTATGATATTGTCTGTAAAGGGAGAAATTTTCCTGTGATATTTTTTTTCAAGGAAAACATTTACTCTGTTGACATGGCTATACTGGCATAACACTGCTACTATGTACGGGGAACTGATGCATACTATATTTAAAAAGGATATTTTCCAGGGCAAATCACATCTCTCTTAACAATCATCAGTTTTTTACCTCATTGAGAAAGTCCTAAGCAATATTACTTAGAGAAGCTGGCTTGCTGAAATCCTCAATGGCTTGCTGAAATCCCAAAGCACACCGGTAGCAAAGTAAGAACAGCACCTCACAAGCCTCAGTGTAGACTTATGGTTTGAGGTTTCCTGTGCAAGGTACTGTTGTTGCAGTTGTGCTGGTGTAATTCACATGGGACACATGTTTTAGAATAGCTTGTGGTTTAGTGAGGCCCTGCTGCAAGAGGATCTTTGCTTGCTAAATTTTCTATTCCTAATGCATCGGTCCTTCCACGCTTCCCCAGTTCCACTCATGGAACAGCAAGTTCTGAAATGTTTGTGACAGGGAATGTCAAGAACTTCCATTTGACTATGAACTGAGTTGTACGTATTCTTATCAAACATAAAGTCTTGGTATTAAAATGGTCACTGCAGCTGGGTGTATGCACAAACGAAAAAAGAAATGTTTCTGTGAACTTACGTTTTTTTTTCAGTTGTCTTCTGCTGCAGGGGTTAGGCTCTGCATGAAATTGAGTAACTATTCTTCAGTTCTGCAGTGCTCTGCTCCATGACTCACTGTACATCAAAATTTTCTGTCAGCTGTAGCTATGGGAATTACCATGGTTCCTTGAAATCCTTTAAGAAATAAGACAGTTATCCCATGAAACCTCTACTGAAATCAAGATTATTTATATCTTTTCTATTTTTACATTCGAGAGTGATTCCTTCTTTTTTCTTGAGGCATTGGAGAGTTACATTGTCCGTCAGTTTTATGGCCTTCTGACAAATCATTGACCTAAAACCACACTGTTTGCCCCCTGATTTCATGCCTCATTATGTATTTGGAGAGAAAATGGTCCATTTGTCTCCAATTGATAGGCCTGTTAGCAGATACCAGCAACTACTGTGAATAGTCCAGTCTAAACATAGCAGTTTTTGACTTGCAGAAACAAATGTAAACCCATTACATATTGCATTGGGCTTTTTAAAAGTGCTCAAACAATCAGATTTGTGGATGCTTTAGCCTCTGTCTGTCTTTGGGACAGACTCACAAATGATGGAAGGAAAGTCAAGTGTTTCCCATCCCCCCATAAAAAACCACAGTAAAACGTGTTCAACAACATTTTGTGGAAGTACTTTGAAATATCAAAGCCAAAGCAAGGTTAGTTCTTATTATGCTTGCAATGTATGAGTCAGTCTATACTTTATTTAGTGTTGTACAGTATAGTAGAAGTTACAGCAACAGTTTCCTTTATAGATTTTATTGAATCCAAGTAACATAAGAGGACACCTCAGCTCCCAGAGGAAATGAATGTAAGTTAATACTAGCAGGTGTGCAGACAAAAGAAAGTGTAACTAATCCAAAAGGCAATCTAGAAAAAGTTTCTTAGTTTTGACAGTAATTATAAGCTTTGGTTTTTCAAATTAAAAATTTTCATTTTATGCTTTTGTTGAAAGCTAAAAACCAGGAAAAGTGATACCATGCAACACCCAATTAAAATTTCTTTGTGGAGGCAGTGACATCGTATACTTCACTGAGACTTTCTCTGGTGTCATTCCAGTGCCAACATGGTAGCTAAGGAGAAGGAGAATGTCCTGTGTGTTCTCTGAGTGTGTCCCCATGTGCTCACAAAGGATTGAGGGAAGGCTCCATGTGTGTATCCAGTCCCAGGAACAGCTCCAGGCCTGCAGTGTAGCCTCAGCAGTGAGTTGCTTGAGATCCCAGGGTCTTTTTTATACTATATGTGAACACCTTCTAGAATATCTTCAAATAGCTTGTTGAGGCAGCTCATAACATCAGCTGGGTTTACTCATTCATGTCATAACATTCTCTGCTTTCCACTGCCAACTTCAAATGTTCTTTTTAAGTTTTTCCCTGGGTAAGTTGAGTACCAGCTTCACAATAATGACATGTTGTCATTTTATCTGTAATGGTTTTCTCGCAGCATGTCAGTCTGCTGGTTTGCTTCTGACAAAATTCTGCATTCCCCCAGTAATATTTCTGATACAGTGATTCAGTGTCCTCTAAGAAATCTTTGTTGCTATTGTATGTCAAAGGTTTTATTTCTTGTGTCAGTAATGTGAATTTGCAATGATCTATAACCACTGTTACTGTGAAAAAATAAAGTATTCACCATTTAAATAAATTTTTGTTTTGAAAGTCCATGGTTTTCCTGAACTTTATAGTTAGAAAATTGTTAGGATTTTTGCTTCTATTTCTCACTTTGGATCAGCTTAGTATAATTCTCAGATAATTGATTTGCTTTGTACATCCTTGTTGGTACCAGTTTTTTATTGTCAGGCCACTGTGTTGATTCTCTGTTTATGCAGGACAATAAGTGTTGCTGTGTGACTGAGAATAGACAAAATTAAAATAAATAAAATACTTTTATTTCTTTTAGTCAGTAGCAACATATTTATCCTCTTTTTTATTTTACAGTCGAGACTTTTTAAAAATTCATTGAGATGTTTTTATGGTTGCTGAGCAATCCAGCCTCCTCCAAATCTGGTTATATTAGAAGGTATCACATGCTTTTGCATAGCTGATAAAAATGTGCTCAGTGGTGACTGAAATCTTAGAGAAATCACGATTTCACGATGCCGTGGGGTTAATTTTGATTCTGAAATTTTCTTCAAGTGATTCTAAAGTGCAAGGAACAGTTCTGTTATTGGGAATGATAGCATTTTATTGAGAGTACAGGCTTTCATTCTTCATCAGGAACAGAAAGATTCCCATTATCTGCTTGTCCAGTTGATGTCTAATCATCTGGACATCATTTCAGGTTTCCAGCTGTAAGACAATTGCTAATTGCTTTGAACACATCTCCTTGTACTTTTTCAGTTTTTATTTTTAAAGGAGAAACTGCCTTTTTCTCTTTACAATTTAAGTATTTTAATTGGTGTTTTAAAATATTCATAATTGTGTAGTGACACTTATCTTTCAGATATTTGAAATTCATATAATCCTTTCAGAACATGTTTTGTTTTGCTTTGTTTTTATGACTTTATTGCACTCCAGCTGTAGGAGACAAACATTTGGGCCATTTTTTATGTTGAATTCATGTTATTTTAAATACATAAACATACCACTGGAAGAGTTCCTTAATTATTCACTTTAATAGACTGTGACCAAAATGTTGTTTTCCTTTTGTGTAATTTCCTTTTCTATTCTGTAATCTCAGTGTTTATGGTGTTTTTTATTGCTTTTTTTCTCCTTTGTTTTGAAGCCTATGCATATTATCCAGCCTCTTTGCAGTACAATGCTAAAATGAGTGGCAGAATTTTAAAAGTCTCCAGGACTCTTAGTCTTGATGATAAACATTCATTCACTATCTATCTATGGATTTTGGAATATTTGGAAGTCCTTGGAGAAGTCCTTAGTGTCTCAAAATTCATTAGCTTTGTATAAGTGTCTAACTGTCCTATTTTGGAAGCCAGGAGCCATATTTATGTTCTACAGCTTGCATGTGTCAAGTGCTGCACAAAAAAAAATGGAGCAAACCAAAGAATTTAATTCTTCTATTGTTGCAAGCAAATGGGTGTTAGGAAACCTGTCCAGAAAATGGTTCAGCAAATAAATTCTGAGTGATGTAGGCTGAGAAAATTTCTCCCTCAAAGGGCTACTTCATATTGTTGATATTTTATAGCCTCTTAGAAATTCTCAACTGGAATCATTACAATTTTGTTATGTATTGATCTGACTGGAGAGATGTTTTAAATCTGGATTTTTACCTGGATCTTGTCAAAATCCAGAGACACTTGAAAGATCCTGGTGTGCAGGCACATCCTAAGATTAGTGGCTTCTCAAGTAAAGGGACATGAAAAAGAACTTTCAGAATTTTCAGTCTCAGGAGAAGTGTTCTCATAAATTAATGTTTTGTGTATTTATCAGGTTTCTCAGATTGTAAATGCTTTTTTGTTTTTCACTCTCTGGAGTGGTACAACACAGTGAAGTACACAGAAGCATCTGCTTTGTTCTGGGTTTGTTCCCATGAGGTAACTTGTACTCTGCACAGTGGTACATTCTTCTGCTGAAGGAGGGGAAAGCTAATTTTGTGAAGTGAAATATGGTCACTGTGTACTGTGCTTGGATCAGGGTGAGTGCTCTGGACTTAGGTCAGACTTGGATTCAATGGTTTGTGTTCAGTGTGGGTTTTGTGCCTTAGCACTGGTGGTTTTTTATTTGTTTGTCTGCTTGTTTTGTAACAATGGAAAGCACCAGAAAATAATGGTGGACATATAAAAAAAGTAGAATAAAGTTTTTGTGTTTGGGAATGGATTATTTATGATGCCAAAGAGGATGGGTACTAATTGTTTTGACTTGTCTTTACTCTCCAGATAATACCATGACTAACAGAAAAGAGGCAATGTGCTCTGTTACAGTCATTTGCATGGAAAAACTGTCTAACTATCCAATCCTTTTCAGACTCTTGTCTCCCCTAGCACCAAATGATGTCTGAATTATCATTTTTCAAGCAGGCTGATGCCTGTACAGTGCAACCCGGTGGGAAAAGTTCTTGAGCTTTGCAAAATGTTTAGCTCTGAGAAGCTAAAGCAGATGTTAGTGCAGAAAGAATTTATGCCAGAACTTAGGAGGATGAACAGAAGGTGAAAAGACACCAGAGGAAAACAAAGTGAGAGAGTAGACTGGACTGAGGACAGAATATATGGAGGACCATTGAGGATTGACTAAGAACTTAACTTAGAGATGAACTGAGAATGCAGGTTAATAAGACTCAAGGACTGGAAAAGAAAGGATTGAAGTAGAAAGATTAAAAGAACAAAATAGGCAGAAGCAAAATAAATGGAAATAATGGAGGAGTCCAAAGCTCTGAAGTTACTGCAATTTTTCCCCCTCCAGTTAATTTCACTTGATAAAATTATAATGTATGAGAAATCTGGCTTTGATCCTTCTGGCAGTCTAGGTACTCTTGTTTCTCAAAACAGGAAAAATAGCAGGAAGCTCATGTGTTTTAACTTAAGGAACCAAGTATGAGAAAATCCTGTACAATGGTTGCTTTCTCTTTAGTTTATAAAGTAGGAGTTATTTGTCAAGAATGCAGAATATACTCTCCTGGTTGCTAGTTTTAGCAACTTAGTATTATTTTTCTTGTGTTTTTTGCTCAATTTTATGAACACTGAGAGCTCAGAATATGGACCCATAAGAGTTAAAACATTAGATAAGACCAATGGTAGTATCAAACTCTAAATACTCATGTTATTTTGTTCAAACAATTATTTTGAGAAAAAACGAAGTGGCAAGTGGAAAACAACTTGGAGGTAACTTGCTTGTAGAGACTGTGTTAAGAAGAAGCTTGCCAGCTTTTGTTTGCCTCACATACTGAAGCTAACAAGTTTAAAATGATATGTAATAGTAATGCATGCCCAGAGCTGCAGTGGAGGGAATAAATTACACTGCCATGGCATTAGCAAAAACAGAGACTGGGGCTTTTATTGAGCTTTTCACAGAGCTTAATGGAATTTGCAAAAAAAAAATTATGAAATACCTTATTCATATTAAAATCTTCCACAATCATAAGGTAAGAAATTATATTTCAAGAGTCTATCCACTCTTCTCCCAAAAGATAACGTTTTGGTTATGAAGAAATTAGGATGAGAGGACTCAAGGAAAAGGTGTGTGCTACTAAAACATGGTAATTCAAACAGAGGAGAAATTTCTGGCTGTTCATTGTACTGCCTCAGTCTCAAATGGTTTCAAAATGTGCACATCATGCTTTTAGGTAAGGCTCACTTCAAGGATGTGTTTACCTTTGAATAGAAAGCAGTGGCTCTTTGTTGCAGTGAAAAGCAATTGACAGCAGTTGTACAGGAGAAGAATTTCTGTGGGAACCTTCAATTGCAGGTGTATTTATTAACACTGAATTATGATTCAGTATGTCAAGCTTTTCTTTATCCCTCACTCTTTTGGTCTTCAGGAATGTCACTAAGGTTCACAAAGGGAAAGGGCCAAGAACACAAGAGAAGTCAACTCAAATGCTCCTGAGGTGCACTATAAAAGACCCATTCCAGGGATGAAAGTGATGGAAGCACTGACTTGATCTTTTGTTTGTAGGCTGACTTCATCCTTAAAGAAACAAATTAGGTGTGTCAGCAATCACATACTGAAGTTCCATCAGTAGATGGCATCTGGTATCCCAGAGCAGCATGCTTAGTCTTAACAGTAAGTTGACAAATCATCACAGTTTCCTCTTTGCATGTTTGACACATCTTTTTCCATTCAGCTCTCTAAAATTTCCATGTGGTGTCACATTGCAAAACCAAAGCTTGAGTGGTTACAAAGTAGCTTCTGATTTGAAGCTGATTGTTTAATTTTAAATGAGGTGATGATAAATTTTAAACTGAGCATGTTTAAAATTTGACAGAAGTATTTGGTGTCATCAGACAATTCTGACATTGCACTTTAGATATACAGATGAATTAATGGGAACTACCACAAGTCTCTCTGTAGTAAAAAGAAAAAGAGAAATCATGGAGTTGAATGGGGACATAAAAAGGAAGGATCAGATTAAAAATCATGTCTTCCTGCTGGGGAGTATACTGCTGCTGTATTTAGACTTAGATTGTCCTTGTCTCAAAATTTTACTTCTTCCTTACCAATTGCCCCTTAATATCCTTCTCAGTATTTTTTAATCCAGCAAATAGCTTCTGAACAGCAAGTTCATATTGTATCTTGCAGTTCATGAAAATTCTGCAATCTCTTTGTTAAGAGTGCCTCACCTCTGTTCAGTTCAGGAAGTCTTTACAGCTCTTGCTTTTTCACAGTATTTTCTCCTACGTTGTTTTTTTTTTACCACCAGTACTCTTTTGATACTCAGACAGAGGCACACTCTAGATCAGCTATTCTGTTAGAATCAGCTTTTCACCTGCTACAATGACAGCTTGATCCTGAAATGAGATCAGCCTGCAATGAAGTTACTGGGATCTTCTGTAACAGGTAAGCAGTGTGAATGCCCTAGTGAATGCTCCAGTTACACAGATTTTCCTAAAACATTGCTTGTACAAGCCTATCTGCTGCCCAGAGAAGCATTCCCATTAGAGTAGCAGGTGGAAGGCTGTTAATCAACTGAGTTTCTTTTCAAAAAGATAATTGAAAAATCTTCCTCAGGTAAGCCTTTACCCTGTTGAAATCAGCAGGTGGATCTGAGTTAGACTTGGCTTGCAGTGCTTCAGTGGAACTAGCACGGAGGCAGAAACTGCCATGGGTGTTTGTTTTAACAGGATCTCCCATCATTTCATCTCCAGGAAAGATGTAGAATACATTAGTTAGTTCTTCTAGTGCTTTTTTAACTGGGAGATGAGAGACATTCCTGAGACTGGTAGTTTTGTGTTGATTCCATGATTCTGTGTACCACTGAACAGGACAATGACTGAATAAGTGACAGCTTTGATACAAATCTATTTTATCTGGAAGCAGTGCCTGTAGACTCAGAAACCTGGAATAGTTCTAGCTGCCTAGATTAGCTTGCTCAGCCTCTGAGATGTTATAGTTCATTGATCTTTCTCCTGCTGTACAATTCTGTCTCATCTTCTCCCTGAATCCTTCAAGACTGCTTTCCTGCCATAGCCTCTGAGAAGATACTGTCCTAATCTTGGTGTTGTGCTGCCTTACCTGAAATAGGCCTCTGGAATTTCACAGTGCCATGTTTTTACTGCAGAGGTAGCATGCATCAGCTGCACTGGCAATGATTGATGAGAAATTTATCTGACTCTCAGGAGAACACCAAATTAAGTGGCTTTTTTTTTGTTTTAGTTTTTTTTCTTTTGGCTAACCATGTAATTTTTTTAATTGCACAGAGAGTCTGAGTCTCCATTCTGGTCCTATGCAAATTTTCACTGTAATTAAATGATATCCTTTTTGGGCCAGTCAGCTTGTGTAGAAAGTATTTCTTCAGCTAGAGAATTTGGTAGGAACTGAATAGGCAGCAGTGGTCAGGATGTAATGGAATTAATTCTGCAGTGACAGTGAGCCTAGAGTTAGGAGTATCCCATACTCACTTGAACTTTGCTTGTCTATAAAATATCACCTATGAAATGAGTACTTTGTGTTTTCTAAAAGGAAAAATTGTAGTTTTTAATGTTCTTCCTTTTTATTGCCTGTATATGTTTTCTCATGTTGCTTCCAAGAACAGAGATAAGGATGTCAGTTTTCTGTGTGTTTACAGAGGATTTGGTGAGGGCTGAATCCTCCCAGACATGAGCAGGCAAGAAAGGGAAGTGTTCCAGTGCCTGTATTCCTCACCTGGGAATGTACTGTGTAATGCCACCTTGTGGAGCTGTGCTATATTTATCCAGAGGAAAATGAGTAATAAATTCTGTGAGTTTGCTGGGTGCTTTTCTTTTACCTCAGAGAGAGACCTACATATTTATCTTTAATAAACTACAGAGCTCTAAAGCTTTATTAAGAAGAGCAAATAATTCATGGCTTCAGAATAACACAAAGGTACTTACAGACAGTTTGTGTGAGGGGGACAATTTAGTATTCTTGATCAACATGTTAAGTATGTCTTTTCATACAACACAATATTCTTCTTATTGACATCATAGGAAAGGAGAATTTTAAGGGAAGATATGAATGAGAACCAGAAAGTCCCTTTCTGGAAGATCATGACAGAAAGTATAGAGGTGCCTGTCTAAAAGATTAACAAGAAGATGATGGGAGCTGTCACTATAGCTTGATTGGAGGCCTCTAAATACTTGATGAGAGGTGATGGGTAGGAAGGATCAGTCATAATGAGCTTGAAATGTGATGGCAAATACCTTATGGTTAATGCAATAGAGAAGGGATGGTCAGCAAAAAGTTGCAAAGAGCAAAAATATGTTTGGATTGGCAAGCAAGGCTGATGATTTGTGCAGCAGCATTCCTCATAAATCTATTATCTGTAAAAAGTGAAAAAGATTTTTACTTTCCTATGCTTTTTTCTATTTGATGTTAACATAATATCTGACAAATATTCTTTATCTTCACTTTTTCCTTCTGTCAAATGGGTCACTGTAGCACAACTTCACATGGGGTATGGCATATTCTTTGTTTTGCAGCTAAAGCATACACAGTGAGACATAGATGCTTGAAGAACTGTTAGCTGCAGCATATCTCAAACAACAATGCTTAATTTTTCATTAGCTTTCTGTTGCTTTCTTAGCAAACCACAACCGAATCACTCGCTTGAGTGGAAGTAGGTGAAGTGGTTGAAAGTAGGTTTACTCACATTGTTTCTGTTTGTCTGAAATGCCCTCTTTGCAGAGGTGGTATGGTGTGCCTGGGGTGCCTGGCATGTGTGTTGGTCATTGTATGCTATTTAGCCATTATTTGATGCTTAGAAAATAGGAGAATCAACTTCTGGGTGTGCATTTAATTTAGTTTTTTGGGGTATTTTTTCTCCTCACACTTCATGTGTATCTTCAGCTATGCTCTGCTAGTTTTAGCATCTCTTGAAATATGTTTGAAGTATTATTACTGCCCCTAGGTCAAGGAGACTGAATTTCATGAATGTGGGAATTATCGTACTTGGGAAACTTCATATTTATACCCATGCTTGGTGGTATGCCCAGAATTCTTTGTAAAACTTGACATTCTTCAGCTGAAAAAAGTATGGTGCTGCTTGGTGTATGTGACTCATCATAACTGCTAAGACTGATAGGATTTCAAATATTGAGTTTTTAGCACTTTGGAAATATTCTGAAACAGTCTGGGGGTAAAAATCACCAGATAAATCAGCTTGCTCCCTAGAATTCTGTGAGCTGAGAAAAAGGTTATATCAATTTATTAATATCCTGGTTTTTTTGTACTGTTCCAGACACTTCTGTAAGATTATTTTCTGAATGCTGTAAGCACTGATCCAGAGAGTAATAATACTTCCAGATAAGGTCTATGGGAATTAAAAATTAAAAGGAAAACTCCCTCCAAAAATCACATGAAATTTCAGTCTTTCTGTATCATTGACAGGATAAAAAAAATCAGTGGTAGATTCCAAAGGTAAGATCCCTGTCTACTGAAAGAAAAGGAAATGAACTCCTCATTGCCAGGGTACATTTTACAGTCAAAGAGTACTTCTGCATCATATGAAAGGTGAATCTTGCCATCCTCAATTAAAGAGTAGCTGGCTCCATTTAATCTCTTTTCTGTTTCCTGGAAGGGACATAGCCCAGAGGTGTTCTTAAATTATGTTAGAGTTGAATACATACTTAAAATGATGGTGGGAAGCCACTCATAAGTGAGTTTTGAACTTTGGTGTGGATAAGTGGTTTTAGGTCACTTGAAAGAATCTTTCTCAAAGACATTAGCAAAAACAGATTTAATATAAATATGCAGAAGCAACACTTAACAAAGTTCAGTGCGAGGCTCACTCCATTACCTCCTACAGAGATGAGGAGCACAAAGGGAAAACTGCTTGGAATCAATTTAGAATGATTTTCATGCAGACTGGAGGCACAAAAGGGTACAAGAGGATAAGGGAGACCTTCCCACTGAGTTACAAGGTTTGAGTTACAAATTCCGGCCTGATGGAGCCTCGGTGAAGCTGAGCCATAACTCAGCCCTACACTTGATCAACAATTTATTTCTAAAGGATTTAGCAGCATTTAATCATTGACTAATTTAATATTCGCAAAACAATTCAGTAGGATTTATATAAGCTCAAGAGTAGCTTTAACTGTGGATCTGAGAAGGCAACATTTACTCTAGACTTTTTATGTACACACAGATGCCAAGGACCACGTTCAAAGGTGTACCTGTTAAATTCCCCTGGAGTTCAGTGAAATATCTTGGTTGCTTTTGCCACACTGGGAGAAGGGCTTAGCCTTGAGGAGGGGGGTATCAGCCAAAGCCCTGTTGTCACCTTGTGTTGGTGGTCCTCTGAGTATCCCAAATTTGAGGGCTGGCAAATTCTGGGAGGCTTCCCCTTCACAGGGAGATTCCAGCACAGCCCATGGTGCTCCACGAAAGCTCAGAGGTGGCTGCTTGTGGTTTGCAGGTTGTTTGGATTTAGTCATCTGTCATTTCCATCCTGGCCATAATCTGAGGTGGCAATTACTGGAATTTTCCTCAGAAATTCTGTTACATTAATATTCTTTCACTGTGGCTATGGTTCAGGTAAATAATGTTTCAAGGCTTCAAGGCCTTGTTCTGTTAGACAACAGAAGTTCCTTAGGCAATAGAACTTTCTGGGAACAGACTGATAAGCTCAAGGGAGCTTAATTGCCCAGAAACCATTAATCAAGGCTGAGACCTAACAAGAATTCCTGAGATTGTTGAGCAGCCTGAAGAAAGGGAAGGTGGGTGGGATGCACCACCAAAAACCTAAGCATAAGACCTTCGGTGTGCATTAATTCATTGCCACTCTTAGTGCTACATAGGCAAATGAGAACGGGTTCTTATGCTGAAAAGACTGTGATTTAGAGTTTGTTTTATAAAAGAATAATGCATTTAGGAAGGACTGTTCAAATGCAGGAAGTCTTACAAGTTAGGGGGAATTTCAGAGCTGAATTCAGGCAACTGTTACTTGGGCTGTGGCTTATTCTGCTGTGCTGCTGGGGATACGTTTCTGTATTAAATGCTAAATGAGATTTAGGGAACCTGACTTGTGGAGATTTTAATTTAGATAACAAAAGCTGAGTTCCTGAAAGTATTGCTTACAATGAATTACATGTAATTTGTTTTGGAAACTCAACTGTTCACCGGGAAAATCTGTCTGGCCTTGGTTTCCCAATGAATTTTACCTAAGTGCAAGTACCACACAAAGGGCATTCTCATTCAGGCAAAGAAAAACATTATTGGAAATCAAAACACTGAGCTCAATAAATGCTAAAAGCTGGCTGAGCTGAAGAGGTGAAAGGGGAAATAGTCTTTTGTTCTACATTGAAAGCAAACTTTGTGAGTGTCATTACTCACATGTTCAATTATGAGTTCACAATATCAATTTAATTCAATTTGTTTGTGATTTTTGATCAAACAGAAGTAAAATAGACTCAGTTTTGTGCTCAGCAGAAATGGAAAGCCAGCTAAAGCAACATTTAAAATTACCAGTGATAGCATTTTACAGACTTTACTGTACCTTTTTCTGAGCAGGAGAGACTTACTCCTATAACACAGATTTTTCCAAAGAGATACAGAGTTGTGAGTTGTTCAGAAGATATTTTTACCATCTTCTTCACTGCAGAATATGAGCATTTCATAATTATATAGTGTAGTAACTGGCTCTTGGTGTATGTCCTTCAGTTTAGGACTTTTGAAAATGACACATGCTGATGTGCAATTAGGTCCAAGGTATTTTCAAAAACATCCACTTACCATCTTAAGCAGAAGATGACTGATGTTGGTTCCTGGTGCTGAATGTCACTGCCATTTATCAATTACTGAAAACTTGAATTTCAAGTTTATATGTGGCATTACGAGTTCCCAAAAGCGAGAATGTGTCCAATTAATATTAGTGCAAAACTACTGGATATATGCATATATATACATATATATATATATATGTATAAAAGTTTGCATTTCATCTGCAAACTTGAAAAATGCTATGCATGCAGTTTGGAAAAGCAGGCATGCTTTAGGTGCTTACCATGTGAAAAGAATGAGAACAGAATTAAAAACTGATCAGAATTTTTCTTCAGAAGACTTTATGTGAAGATGAGATTTGCTAGCAATGTCATGGTCAAAAAGTGCAAGAATGCCTCACTTTCTGCTAGTCAATAGTCAGAAAATGTGATAAGGCTAGGAAAAGGTAAATGAAAGCAGATGTTTTATTAAAGCTTATAAATGGAAATTTAAAATTTCCATTTATATAATAAATGGAAATTTAAAACCCCATTAAATTTGGTGGTATTTTTTTTGTTGTTGTTGTTTTTGACCAGAATTCTTAAAGACAATTACACAGCCTGAAACCCTGGGCATTAGTTAAGGGAATGGAAGGGCAGTGGGATTTGCCTGACTGGTGCAGTATAGTAAAATTACCAATTTCATAATGCTTCAACTTGTGTTTTCATGTTGCTTTGCTAGAGTGAGAAGCTGGGGGGTCCTGAAGTCTCAGTTATCAATTGCCATATCCTTGGGCAGGTCACTTTTCCTATTTTGAAGGCAATGGGTTGTAAGTCAAAAGCAGAGTTGCTTGTTTCTTTTGTATGACATACTGAGTTATAAAGAGAAGATCCTTTTTTTGTGCTATCAGTGTTACCTAGTTAGAGATGTGGCAAATAACCTGAAATAAGATGGCAGAAATTAAGGTAGGAGTGACATTAAAGGGAAATTTTCTAATTTGAGATCTGACACTATTCCAGTCTTCAAAGTGTTTGTGAATATTTAATGGCTCAGATATCTACTGGAAGGATGTAGACTGAATTATTTAAGGGCATCACAGGCCCTTGAATATTTAGCCCCTGAAGCATTGAAATCCTTATTTAGGGGTTACTAATTATGATATAATATTCATTTCCAGACTTCCTCTTGTGCTATTTTTTAAAAATTCATTTTATTATTAAAGCAACATTGGTCTACACAGTGCAAGCAAAATGAAATGGCTATCCTAATCTTAAAATAAATATCGTGTTAAATAGATGAAAATAAATATTCTTTGAGTAGCTCTCATGAGTCTGTAATACCAATCCAGACAAACATACTTTCCATTAATTACAGTGCTTATTCTTAGAGGCTGTATCTGTGGCTTATGTTGGGGTGAACAGAATCTTTGTCAAAGTACTACAGCTTCATTATCTCTATGAATTTATTGGCTGTGTATTGGAATTTGACAAGGTAATTTCTACATTCTGCTTAGAGAAATGCTTAATAAAATGGCAGCCCATGTGTTGTGCTTGTTGAATAACAAATACTGGCTAGTGTTTGGCTACAGACTGTGCACAGACAGTGATTTGGTGAAGCTTTTACATTGTCCCTGAACTTAGCATCACAGTGTAAAGTGGTTTTGAGTTCCAGACATAATAATCCAAATATATGATACATCTAGATGCTTGTAGATCAGGATCTACTTGTCTTGAGGTTAGATTGTGTAAACAAAACCAGTGAGGTAAAGTCTGTGTCTGTTCACACCCACGGTGCAAATCAGTCTCCATCTGAAGCATTAGCTCACTTTAGAATTCTCATCAAGATTAAGATATTTCTCCAAAAGGAGAAATCATATAGGAAAGAAATTTAATTTATTGGGCCAGATCCATGCTGGGCAGAGGTGTCTTGGGTACTCTTTGGAACTGGGAGCAGAATTAATTTCAACTGTCTGTGTTATTTCTTGATCACTGGGTTGGATGAAGTACATATTTGTGTTAACTAGTGCACCTACCTGGTGATGCTAAACTCCTGTTTGGGTCATAGACCTGGTCCATAACCCATTGCCTCACTGTGACATAAATTTTGAGTGTCTGAACCAAAAATTTTCTTTCTAACTTCTGAAGGTTTTTCTTATCATATCTTTTTGACTGCGGTTTTCCACAGTCTTCACAAAAGCATCAAGGCCTGCCAGTATTGTGCAATGAAAGAAGGAGATAATTTTTGAATGAAACTTTAAATGTAAACACATGAAGAAAGAGGAAAACTGGATTGGTTAGGTTTTGTCTACAGCCATTGGATAATGCAATGTCTTGAATATTGTCATTTTAAGAAGGACATATTTTAGGCTTAAACTTATATCCTGACTGAATAATACATCACTCTACAGCCTTATTTAATAAAAGCAACTACAGCTGAATATAATCCAAACATATTAGATCCATAATTTGCTTTACTTTTTTTCCACACAGAATAATGTTTATATATATTGTCTGTTTCACAGAGAATAACACAGTGCAAGAAATATATCTGACCCACCTCCTATATTTTTTTTTCACTCAATTAAGAGGTCTAATGGTTAATGGCTGTGAAGCATAGGTAGTTAATTCTTTGCCTTCCCCGCCTACAGAGAATGAAACACTGACATTTGATTTCTTGAAAGTGTGTCCTTTCTCTAACCCCACTCCTGTCTCGTTTGCTCTGTTTCCCAGACTGTAGCCTTGTGAGCTGCTGTAATGTCTATCAGCATAAGTCACACTGACAGACCAAGGCTCTGATAGCTAATGTTAATAACATAAATTGAAGAGAAACATGAGAGACCTAGAAAAATTGTATAGCTCCCATTGCCTGAGTGGAGGGGAGCCACTAATCTCAAGGCTCCCCTCTCCAAATAATTTTTTCAGATTAGCTGGTTTTTTTCAGGTTTTTTGGTAGCTTCAATGAAGATGCTAGTTGTATTTTTTAAATGAAAATAAAGTATGTGGCTAAATATTGCACACTGACAAAATTAAAATGGCCTTGCTGAGTTGGGAGGGTGAAAGAGGAGCATAGCATGTGAACACCATGCTGAACTGCCTTTCCCCTTGCCATTTAAATATTCCAGGTTAAGTGCAGCCCCAAAGTGACATGTGCAAGCCAGAGTGCTGACATTCCTGTTTTCCACCATTTGTAATTACCTCTGTTTCAGGCTGGATTTGTCTGAGAATTTGTGAATGGCTCCTAAGTTCTTATTCATCAGTTGGGTTAATATAAGGAGAGGACATTTATATTTCTTACTTATGGTAAAACATAGGGTGAGCCCAATTTTATGGAAGATTTAAAAAGCAAGTGCAGGCCTGCTTTAAGTGAGGAGGAATGATTTATTTAAGCTGGGAATAACAGCTGAGCACTGACAAGAGTGCAGTGATGCTAATTACGTTGATGCTTTATTAATGGCCTCAAGGTGAGGAACGTGTGTTTCCTTGTCTGTCTGTAAAATCAGTCTGTGCTTTCCACACAAAAAGGCACTGGGATTAAGTGGTCATTTCCTTGGGAGGACTCTGACTGCTGCTGCTGCACTCCCTGTTCCCATCCTGACATCTGGAGAGCTTCAAGTACGACTGGCACAGACACTCCTAAGATCAAGGTCAGACTGTCTGCAGCATGAATGACAGAGAGTATTAATTTGCCCACAGATGTGGCAGCACAGATGAATAATCTCCCTGCACTTTAACCATACATCTGGCCATTCAAAAGACTTAATTAATTGCAGCACAGAAATTCCTGCATCAAGTGGCCCTCTCAGAGGCCTGCAAGGGACAGTCCAACACTGTGTATTGCCTCTGTGCTGTATGCCTTCACCAGGGCATAAATTAAAATTCACCAGTTATAAATTAAAGTTTTCCAGGTTCACTTCTTTCAGGCTCATGCCAGAAAGAGATAGTTTTGTTTAAATAGAAGTAAATAGTTCAGTCCATTTTAATTTTTACTGCTCCTAACATTAGTTTCTGCTGGCTGGTGGCTAAAGCCTGGTGTATTCTGAGGTCTTTTTGCAGAACCTGACATTAAAAATAGAATTAATAGTTTTGGAAAAAGTCACTGTTGGCAGACTGGTTCTGTTCAAGTTGGAAAATATTTTACCTATTGATTTCAATGAAAAATGTTAGGTCCATAGTGGGAGTTCTTCAAAATCTACTTCTGACTATATTAGAAACATTTCTAAAAGCTTATCCACCAATTTAGCTTTTATAATAGCATGTCACACCGAGACTTTCACCTTTTGACAGAGTTCCCATATACTCACCTGGACAGATCTAGACAACAAGCTCAAAAATGACCTCTTAAATATTTTCCTTAAGTACTAATAAGCAGATTTGGATGTCAGACTATACTGATACTCACTATTTACCTTTACTAAAACTTTGCAAAAGAAACACTGATGTAAAAGTAAGTTTAATGAAATTATTGGGCATTTGATGGAAATGAAACTTTAAAAAGATAAAGTCTGTCTTACAAACTATCAAATATAGACTGAGATATCTTCAAGCCTGGCCAGCCTTCTTTAAGAATTTCTGCATTTCTGTTGCTGAAAGTACTGACAATGAAATATTTGCTGTCAGACTGTAGAACAAGTAATTGTTGACATGATTTGGAATGGATTTTGCTTGAGAGTAATGATACAGGAGCCATCTGGTATTTTCAATTATTGCATACAGGCATATTTGTGTGAATAATCTTTTTTCTTATACCTTTTCAGATTAATACTGTTACTGTTACATTTTCTTATCCCATTGCTGTTTCCAGTAAATTGTTCTTATCTCAGCCTGTGACCTTTGCCTTTTGTGCCTCCATTTGGAGTGGGGAAGGGAATGGCTGATGATCTGGGGAGTCTCCAGGAGGGCTCTGAGCTGGGGAGTGCCCATTCCTAAAGCTCCCCAGCCACACCCAGCCCCACAGAGCTGCTCCTCACTCCCCATCCAGTGGGCTTGGGAAGAGAATGGGAAGAGTGAAAGGTAGAAAATTCACCTGAGGCTGAGATAAGAACAGTTTAATAGGGAAAATAAAAGCCACACACACAGAAGAAAAGGAAAAAAATGGAATGAATTCCCTGCTTCCTAAGGGCAAGCAGGAATTCAGCCTTCTCCAGGAGAGCAGGGCCCCATCACAGGTGAGGTTTGGGAAGACAAACATCCTCACCCCAAATGTCCCCCTTTTCCTCCTCCTTCCCCACAGTTTCTGTGACATCCCCTGCTCTGGAATGTCCCTTTGGTCACTTGGGGTCACCTGTCCTGGCTGTGTCCCCTCCCACCCTCCCAGGCACCCCCAGCTCCCTCTCCAGAGTGGCTTTACCAAAAGCAGAGAAGGCCTTGGCTCTGTGCAACAACAAAAACATCTCTGAGTTATCAACCCTGTGTCCAGCACAAACCCAAACACAGCCCCACTGCAAAGAAAATTAACCCAAATTTAAAATTATCCCAGCCCAAGCCAGCACAGCACCTCCCTCTGTTAAATGATGTGCAGAAATATTCCAGAAGATAAACCCTAACTCCTGTGCCTTGCTAGCAGGCTGCTGCAGGATCTTATTTATTAAAATTATTATTATTTTTATTATTATTATTTACCCTATTTATTAAAGACTGCTCATTTCCTTCACTGCTTCTTGTCCAGAAAGCAACCCTGTGGAGCAAACACCTAAAAAAGCTCTCAGATCCTCCTTTTTAATCTCATTTTTTCATCCATTCTTGCACGTCCTCTCAAAGTTTAAGATTATTTTAAAATCCTGAACTACTTTTTTGTCATAGCAGGCTCTTCTTTTAAAGAAAAATATCAGAAATCCAGTGAGTTAGGGAGAAAAACAGTGTTTTATTTCTGTGGGGTCAGTCAGTAGTGGGGTCCTCCATGGGATCAGTTCTGGGGATGATGCTTATTAATTACCATCATCATTAATGGCCCAGTCAGAACATTTTGGGAGGTACTTTGGCTGGGGACAAAGTGGTTTTCTGTACTTCTCTTTGAAAAGCAAGAAGAAAACCAAAAAAAATCAAAAAAATAAAAGAGAGGAGGAAAATAAAGGAAAAAAAATCTAAATGGGCAATGAGAATTTTAGAAGAAGGAAGCTCTGACCTGAGAAAAGCTCAAGTGATTCAAGCTCTGTATTACAAAATTTCCAACTCTTCTAAGACCCAACATCTCTTATCATTATTATAACATTTAAAACATCTTTTTTTAGTAAATATTTGAAATCATCACACATATCTAAATTTTCATCTCCAGTCAACAGCCACATTTTATCACAAATCAACTTCAAAAACATTGGTTTTAGTTTTGCCTAAAAATTATCTCAGCTGTTAGTGAGTGCACTTAACTCGTGATAAATCACATTTAAACCAAACTAAGAGTTTTCCACTGGTTTAACTAAAGCAATTTAAAATTCTACTGTTCATGAAACAAAATTGTTCATTCACAGCATGATCTGGGTGCCTAAATCTCATAAAATCTAACGAAAAGCAGCTCCTGAGTGACTTTGAGCTTTTGGCAACTTTCTCCTATTTCCAATTTGTGCACTCTGGATCAAGAGTGGGAAAATGGACAAGAGAGAATTTGCATGGGCACACCTTTGTGCTGCATTTAATGCTAAAAATGCATGAAATACAGGATTTTATCAGAGCTGCACCTTGGAAACTCTTTGCCTCCAGGTGAGAATGGCTTTTAGAGAATTGCCCAAAGCAGAATTTATTTATTAAATCCCTTGCTGCAAGGAGCTGCTCTCTCCTTGGTGCAGAGAAGGACAAGGTCACACACTTCACTCCTCAAATGCTTTTTCCAGCCTGTTTGCTTTGACACAGCTGCTGTTTTGGATTATAGCTTAGTTATAACTAGGTTTATACATATATATATATATATATATATATATATATATATATATATAACATTATATAAATATATAGATTTAAATATCTAGATTTATATATATAAGGAAGACACAAATGAGAGATAAGAGGAAGAAAAATCTTGTTTACACCTGAAATACTTGACCATGCTGGCAATTCAGGACTGGGAAACTTCCACCTTCTGCTGCTGTTGATGTACTGCTTACACTGACAAGAGAGAACTTGCTCTGATACAACTCCCCCTGAAACTTCTTTCCATCCTTTTCCATCCCTTGCCTTTTTACATTTTTAAATGTGCTCTGAGCTACAGGAAACATTCATTCCTTTTCCCAGGAGAACGCTGAGAGCTTGCAGAGCTGTCACTTGTTTCTTAAAGGATTCATTAATTGTTTGTTTAGTCTAGGGGGAGAAGATTTTTTCTAACACTTTGGTTTAAGGAGCACAATTCCTTATTACAGCAGTGGTGATATCACAGCTTATTATCCTTCTTATCACCTCCTTTGATAAGAGAAAATCACTTATTTTAGAATAAACTGCCAGTGGCACTGAACAGAATCAGAATCGCTGCTTCAGGGTCTGCAGAGACTCTGGAGACCAGCAGGAATATTTCTCATTGTCACAAACTGGTGCTAATGCAGCACTTTATTTGGGAATTTCAATGTCCAGCACACCAAAATCTTGAATTTCCACTTTGTGGTGCGAGAGGAGCAAACTTTGCTGCATGACAGGGCTCAGAGCAGCTCAAATCTCAGCCCAGATTTGGGGCTGCCCTTGGCTCCCGAAGGGTGGAGGAGCTCCTGGCTGATGGAGATTTGTTCTTGCAGGAGGGTTTGCTGAGCCCACATACAGAACCAAGCAAAAATGAAGAAAAAGTTCCCTGCAGGGGAGAAATTTAACAGCTGTGAGGATTGCTGTGCTCCTGCTGCTTTAATCACTGCCAGGGCTGCCTCTCCTGCTCTGCCCAGACTATTAAAGAGAAATCCTCATTACCTATTAAAGAGTCATTTTCTTATATAAACACATTTCTTGGGATGCATATTGATAGTTTTATGTGCCTCTGGTGGAGAAGACAGGATGTTTTAATGTCCAGGAAAGGTGTTCTACCCACTTTGCCTTCTTGCAATAGTTAACAAAATAGAAATTGGGATAATTACCAGTTCAGGCATCTCCACTCTTCCTTACCAACAGGATTTTCAGACCTGTTCAGGAAAAGTTTTATGGCCTGTAAAGCAAGAGATGGATGAATTTAACCACTGGGTGAATTTAAAAAGACAATCAGCTGCAAAATCTTCACAGACAGAAAAAAATAATTCTTATGCTTTCAATTTTTTTTTAATTGGTAATACATTTATTTATAATTCACTTAATGCATCATTAACACACTGCTTCATTACCTGAACATTCAAATGCACAAGAAGCAGCAGTGCCTCATAACCATTGCAAATAAAAGCCAATGTTACTCTGAAAAACAAATGGGCTTTGACTTTTACCAAATTATAAAAGCACTTTCTTATTTCTTATTTATTTTTTTTTCTCTTCTTTTTAAATCATACCAGAAACACATTTATCTAACTTTGGAAGCCAATAGACTTATAGCTTGCACGAGGGAAAAATCTGTGTAAGGGCTGTTATTCTTCCTCAGAAGAAAATGGAAACAAATAATATGGTTTCAGACCAATTTACTGTTGATGGGAATATTGGAATTCCTTGTATCCCCTCCCGTGAGTTACACAGCCTTGGAGCAAATTACATCGTGTTCAGCACAGTCTCAGATTGGGAATTACAAACAAAACAACAAAAGCCTCCAGCTAGCAGGCATATCATGGTAAATACAATTTGCAGTAGATTACATGTTTCTGTAGTTATATTATTGTTACCTAAAAAACTGACGTGTGGAAAATATTTTTGGAGTTTTTTTTCACTCTCCTTACTTTTATAGAGCCTGACAAAAGACAAATAACTTAAATTTCACTGAGGAAAACACATATCTATGGAATGTTGACAAGTAATTATCTTCATCAGTGTCTTGGAGAAATAACACATTCTCTATTTTTGGTATTTCCAGCTATTAACAAAATGTCTCAATATTCAAGCACAATATGTCAGCTGCATTCACTGGCCAGGTATTTTCTGGGCTGCTCCCTGAAAGAATAATTTTTCTCTTTTCCATGGACTGCCAGGTTGGAATTGCACTCACATGTTTTGATAGACACTTTACAAAATAAAATCAATGTTTGCAGGGAGTAGACAGAGCCCAGCTTGCAAGTGAATAAGTCTTGTTCTGTATTTGTTCTTCAACTTAGGGGCCAAAATTATAAGGAGTAACTCTTTTTACAAGACAGCTTAGGGGCTAATAATTGAGAACCTATTAATATATTGATTTCCATGATCAAGAATATTTAAAAAAAAAAATACAAAATAAATATAATAAAATATATAATAAAACAAATAAATTAACAGAAAATCTTTTACCAGCAAAGAGCTCAATAGGGGTAGAATTTTTAGTATCCAGAGGAAGCTACTGTTTTCAGCCAGCGAATGTTTCCCACCAGGTTCAGTGCACCTGTTGTAAGTAATGAGAAAACAAGGCAGGGATTGCAGTCCTGAACCAGCACTCTGCTTGCACCTGCTATGACACTGGGAACAGACAGAAAACATCTTCAATATCATTTTTTTTTTAATTATTTTAGATGTGATTGACACATTGAATTTATTTGATGTACTTCTTAGTTATGGGAACAGCGATAACGCAACAGAAGGATGGAGCAGAGTTGCCCTGGCAACAAAGCACTCAAAGCCAAGGCATGAAACATGAAGGGGCTGGGTACAGAGAGAGAATTCTCCCTGGGAGAGGGAGAAGTTTTACAACAAGAGGCAAATTGTAGCAATATAACACGACACACGCCCCTGACACTGGTAATATCCAGAATATATGAGTCTGAACGTCCCCCTTTACAACTCCCAATTTGTGAACACCCAGAGCAGTCAGCAAATCGTGGCAGACACAGAAGTTAACAGCCTAAATTTGTATGATAAACCAGGACATCAGTGTCCACTCCTGATGCTTGAAGCAATGAAACCTAGAGGAAAACAGATTTCCCCTTTTTCCCCTGCTGGCCCTCTTGCCCTTACACAGGTGAAGGTGTGAGTCCACCCCGTGCTCCCTAAGGTTGTGATACACAGTTCTCAGTGCTCCTGTTTCCAAAAGAAATATTCAGGACAGATGGATACAACAGCTTCCATTTTCATTAGCTTCATAATCA